ACACCATATTCAAAATATGGCGCTTCATAAGTGCAGCGAAACGCGCTATACTTCGCGACACACACGCACACACAACTTAGCGAATTATATTAGGTCGGCCCATGATTTTTGAACACTTTACATGTATACATTGTTGTGGAAATCTTTTAGAGCCTTCCAAGATCTCTTACAACTTTGGAAGCTCGCCTATCTGACTGGCTAGCCATCTCGTTTGCTTGTTGCCTCTTTAGCTAGGATTCCAATTTCTTCGAAACCTATTTCTGAGCCTCTTTCTTCATGACTACCGATTAGGATCTTCCACGCGCCAAGATACATGGAGGATTATTCAGAAGCTAGTTGAGGCACGCCCTCAATCTAGGGTGCACGGGTAGACCCCTACTCAGTTATGCCTTCTTTTATTTGAAGAATCCACAACCAATTCACCCCGCGGCTGACAATCTCAATGCTCTGTCCGGCGCCATTGATATAGAATCTGAACAATGTGAGCGCTTTTTGTGTCACCGATTGACAGGGACTCTCTTCAGCTATGGGAAAACAAAAATGGCTTGTGGCGACCTACAGTGCGTTTCATAATTATAAGCTCCCCCTCAAATTTTGCAGTTCCAGAATAAGTAGCCATTTAGGAATTTTTCTAGCATTATCAACGGATTCCCCAGCACGAATAACCCCCGTTCCAAATTTTGGCAGCAGCATCATTTTTCTGAACTTTTTTATAACAGTTTTTTCAATTTTACAGCGTTTCATAATTATAAGCCCTCCCTGAGAAAATTAATTATGGAGGACAAGAAAATTCGTGTTTCAAGGGACTTGTAAAGGCTAGAATATGTAGCAAATGCATCTCCAATTCTTATCACCAAATGGCTCGGGGTCGCCTGCTATCTTCTGATGAACAGGCTCAGATTAAAGCTCTTCGTGAAGCTGGGCTTAGTAAGAAAGCCATTTCCAGACAATTAGGAAGATCTGTCTGCTCCATTCGAAGAGTATTGGAAAGACAAGACGTCTACAGATGCAACACAAGCTCTGGACGCCCACGAAAGATTACAGCCCACGATGAGCGAAGAATTCTGAGGGCTGTTTCCAACAGCACCTCCTCATTGAACCAGATACGATCGGAGTTAAACCTTTCCGTGTCAAAAACTACGGTCTTGGAGAGCAGTGAGGAGAAGCGAGGACATCGTCAGGCAAGCTTTGAAGAAGGCGCCACGGATTACCGACCGCCACAGAGAGGCTCGACTAGAATTTGCAAGGTTGAACTTAGGAAGAGATTGGACGAAGGTAAGCCTGCGTCACAATCTCACCATACAGCTAAACAATTTCGTTCAGGTCGTGTTTTCGGATGAAAAAAGTTCAATTTGGACGGACCTGATGGAAACAAGTACTACTGGCGTGACCTGCGCAAGGAGCCGGTTCACTTCAGCCGTCGCAATTTTGGTGGAGGAAGTGTGATGGTGTGGGGTGCATTTTGCAATGACGTCGTGCTCGAGCTAGCCTTCGTGAGCTGCAGAATGGACTCCAAGGAATACCAGAACGTCTTAGAGCATCATCTGGTGCCCTTTCTGAGCCGGGGTCGTCATCATAACTATGTCTTCCAACAAGACAATGCTGCCATTCACGTAAGTCGTTCAACAAATGAATGGCTGCGATCCCAAAACATAAGCGTTCTGCCATGGCCAGCCTGCAGTCCCGATCTCAATCCGATGGAGAACATCTGGGGCATCATAGTCAGAAAGGTTTACGCGAACAATCGTCAGTTCCAGAGTACGGAAGAGCTGAAAAAGACGATCGTCGAAGCCTGGAAAGCAATTGATGAAGAACTGCTTCGAAACCTAGTTTCTAGTATGCCTCGTAGACTCTTTGATGTTGCGCTCAAACAAGGAGGAGCCATCGATTATTAACTGTTGTACATATGCCATTTACATTAATAAATTGTTCATGTTCCCAGGGGGTGCTTATAATTATGAAACGGTGCGAAAACCAATACCTACTTAAAAAATTTTATAAAAAAGTTGAGGTGAACGGTATTGCAACCCAAATTCGAATACGAAGGTTATTTGAGATGAGGAATCTGCAGATATTTGCCAAATAATTTCATCTTAGCTGCTTGCTTGAGAAATGCAAAAATCGAGGGGGAGCTTATAATTATGAAACGCACTGTATGACGAGTGTGACGCGCGCCGATGTGTGCAGCGCAATGAATGTTTCATTGACTTAAGCACCTTGTATACAAGTGGCCTATGTCAGACTTTGCTATTGGAGCGATTTTGCACCAATTGCAGGAGCGAGGGATCGCTTGAGCGACTGGGGAGTCGAAAATAAATACATAACGTTTACATCTCCGCGGATTTCGATTAAACCTTTCTAGTATCTGATTAGTGACGATAGCGTAATTTAATAGTACACGAGAAACACTGTTTACTACGCCGTTTGTAAGTACTCGTGATTGAGCATGTTTATTGTTTTGCTTTCGTATTTTTGATATTCACGGAGAAGCCATTTCGAAAATCAGATAAACACCAGCAGTAGTTGAATTTTAATCACCAGCACAACAGTTCAAAACCTAAACTCACTTCCCTCCCTCAGTCCTTACATCGCACGGACCTGCAAGCAAAAAAAAAGACTATGAGAAGATCATTCCCTTCCCCTAACCCACTTAAAAGCCCACGTAGCATACCTTCCTCATTCTTCCGTTCTCAACCGTCCTCCCCCTCCCCCTCCTTTACTGTAGGACGGCATAGGTAGGATGCACTTGCTATTTAACAATGTTTGTGTTGAATTGTATTGTGCAATGTTTTTCAGTTGATCTGAAGAAGGGCTTAGGCCCGAAACGTTATCAGTAAAGTTTTATGAAAAAGAGTCTTCGATTCACATATATCCTGCATCGAAATTGTGAAGCTCAGCGGAACCTTCAATACTACCAAAAAAAGTGTTGAAATATCGAAAAAACGAAAGCAAAACAACAAACCAATCACGAGTAGTTACAAACGGCGTAGGAAACAGTGTTGGTCGTATATACTATCGTATATACTCAATTACGCTATCACCACTAATCAGATACTAGAAGGGTTCAATCGAAATCCGCGAAGATGTAAACGTTATGTATTCTCGTCCCCAGTCAAGGGTATTGACCGAAGGGGCGTGGCAGTCGATTGATCGCTCTCCTGCCACAACGGTCAATGGCACCTCACGCCCCGAGCGACGGATCGCTGCAATTAGTGTAAAATCGCTCCATCGAAATAATTATTACTGCACTGCTTTGCATAAATACTAGTCCACCT